TTTATTCTAATAACTGTGGCGGACAATTTCTGGTGGGGCGTGACGTTTTATTTTCTCATTCTTTTCCTATGCTTCTATGAGTCTTAATCTTCAAATAATTCATTGATTTCTAGAAACAGGGCATACACAAAACGAAGGTCACAGCATGCATGCTGTTATTGAAAATGCCAAAAAGCATCAATCCGCAATATATACCCTTGATCAATGGATCATGTTGATTCGCATGGCAAAAGTGTCTGGAAAGCCATACATTGTAAAAGAAATGGCAGAAAGCGATAATGGTACAAATAATTTTAAAATTCTTCGTCCATAGTTTATAATATTACGTTGGGGATTATAAGTATAATAACGAGTATTTCCTCTTCGTATTCTAATTACTGCGTGCATCCTAAATCTTGGAAAAAGTTTTCGAAGAGCTTCGAACATCTTTTAATCAGTTCCATGAGTCAGTGCATTCCTCGTAACTAATATCCCCCAGAACATTATACCTCCAAAGTTGACAGTATAAATAAGGTTAAAACTATATTAGCGTTGTCATTATCTTTACATTTTTTACTACTTTTATTTATTTATTTAGCATCCACACCCTCTAAAGAGACTTGCTCACCGGTACAATTAAACAACAATATATTCCAAATTCTCAAATATTAACTGATTCAAAAACTAAACAAAATAATATCTTGGCAAAAACAAACCGCTGGTCTACAAAGCCATTTTAAAGCACATATAGACCTATGGTATCTATGTATATAGTTTTGATTAAAAATCAAAATAAGACAATTACGATTATTCTTGATGTTCCATACTTCACACCCAATACGGTGGTCCATTGAAATACAGTAATCCCATAAATAACTGAATATAGTCTAAACATATCATGAGATGTCTATGCATCCTAATTAGTTAACTAAATGATTATTTAAAGTCACCCACCACGAAAGGAGAGTACAAACACTCAAACGAGGAATCTTAATAATAACTTTAGATAATTTAATCTATGATAGATTATGTTTTGTTATAACCAACAGAGATATACATCCATCAAAAATAAATAACGTAAGATGCATCATCTCAGCAGATGTATGTAGCGACCATAGTCTAGTATTATGTAAAATAAGAATCATAAATACGGAATCCACGAATTCTTATACAAAAAAATAATATCAGAGAAGATTGCTAGGAATGAAATACTAGAAAACGATAACATCGAGAAAAGCTGGGAAAAACTCAAAAATAACATAATTAACGCGGCAACAAAATCACTTGGAGAAAGGAAAGTAACGAACACTAACATATCAAAAAAGAAAACTCCATGGTTTAGAGAGGAAGTGAAGACAAAATATGAAGAAAAGAAGAAAGCCGTTTTACAATACAGAACACAACAAACACAACAGTCATACAACCATTATAAACGAATCAGAAATGAAACGAAAACTTTAGTTAGACAAATAAAAAGGGAACACTGGCAGAACCTCTCAAACACTACGGAACACAAAGAAATATGGAAAATGATCAAAGAAGAGAGATGAACAAACTAATACAAACGAACCACATTCAGAAGGAAACATGGGTAGACTATTTTCGATCCCTATTCGCTAAAGCTGGCGATAATGAACTACCAACACCAGGGGTGACGACAAACGAAGAAATAAATATTGAGGAGGAAGAGGTAAAGGAAGCATTAAGGAAATTAAAAAATAGAAAATCACCAGGAGGGGACAGAATACCGAACGAACTCCTAAAGTAAGTAGGACCAGATCTGACAAACAACTATTAAAACTAATTTAAAATATAATAGAACAAAACAGATTTCCTCAAGAATGGAGATCAAGCATCCTAATACCTCTCTTCAAAATGGGAGACAAATGTTACCTGGAAAATTACAAAGGAATTAATTTATTAAATCATCATCATCCAGCCTTCATTTATCACGCCCACTGCTGGACATAGGCCTCCCTTAAACTTCTTCATTCTTTGAGATTTTGTGCTCTTTGTTGCCAATTTTTCGTGATACGCCTGATGTCGTCAGCCCAACGTGCAGGTGTTCTTCCTCTACTACGTTTGTCTGCCCTTGGCCTCCAATGTGTAATTTTGCTCGTCCATCGTGAGTCATGCATTCTCGCTACATAGCCTGCCCAATTCCATTTTAGTTCCACTATGCGTTCCACAACATCAGTAATAATCGTCCTTCTTCGCAGATCTTTTTATTCGGTCCCGCAACATCACTCCCAGCATAGATCGTTCAATTCGTCTCTGTGCCACTCTCAATATCGAAGCCGTAGTATTAGTTAGAGTCATAGTTTCCGCCCCATAGGTCATGACCGGTAATACGCATTGGTCAAATACTTTTCTTTTGAGGCTAATTGGTATGTTGGCCCTAAGTGTGTCTCGCAGTTTTCCAAAGGCTGCCCACGCTAAAGTAATTCGTCTTCGGATTCTACCACTTTGTTTTAAACAGTTATTGAGTACCATATTTGTCATAAACTTAGTTTTGGATAAGTTCATTCTGATGCCCACCTTCGAACATGCAAAGTCCAATTCATTTAACATATCTGTGGCTTCTCCAAAATTATCTGTGATAAGGAAAATGTCATCTGCGAAATGGAGATGGTTAAGTTTTTCGCCGTCTATTCTTACTCCTCTCTGGTCCCAATTGACCATCTTAAAGGCATACTCTAATGCCGTTATGAATAATTTCGGTGACAATGTATCTCCTTGCCTCATCCCATGTTTTATTTTTATTAGTCGGGTTTTATCGTGTATCTTAACAGTCATAGTGAGATTTTTGTAAATATTGTAAATAAGTTCACTATACCTATGGTCAATCCTGCTGTCATTCATTGCTTCTATAAGGCATTATATAATATATATATTTATTAAATACAACACTAAAATTAACAACCAAAGTAATATCGAACAACTTGAATGAAATTATAACACTAGCAGAACAAGTTTTTAATGCACCGACGGTATATTTTTAATGAGGCAAGGGCAAGAGAAATCATTAGAAATATAATATACCTGCATATATACGTTTTGAGGCATTGAATCTGGTCAAATTAAAGGACGTTATCCACTTATTATACGCAAGGGAGATACCTCTAGGAATAATCAAGACGATCGAAAATATCTACCAAAACAATACAATAAAAGTAACAGTAGAATAAGAACTAACTGACCCTATTGAAGCTGGCAATGGTATAAGACAGGGAGATTCCCTGAGTCCTCTATGATTCAATCTGATTATGGATGAAAATAATAAAAAAGTAAGAACTAAAAAAGGATACCAAACGGGAGAAAAACAACTAAAAATAATCTGCTATGCAGACGACTCAATACTACTCTCTCAGAGTGAAGATAATTTACAACGTATGCTGCACCAATTTAATATAACTGCCAGAAAATTTACGAAGATGTAAATTGGAGCTGGAAGTTCAGATATTAGAGCAAGTGACGGAGTTTAAATATCTCTTCCTTTACATTGGTGACTGTGTTTCCCACAATGTCAATGTAGTACGAATATACTAGTAGTCATTTTGATCCATTTACTGTCAGTAGTTCTGTGCTAATTTGTGCTGTTCTTACTACTTTTTCCAGGATATTATGAAAAAGGAGAGGTGACAGCAGATTCTGAGAGTTTGAAACCTATTCGCACTCTTGATCTACAGCCATTTACACATATTTTAACGAGGTGGATGTTAAGTTTTTTTGGAAATTAAAGTTGTGCCATTGCATTCTTCATCTGATCCCTCTTAATACTGTCATATAGTTGTCGAAAACCTATGAAGAGATTATGGATAGTTCTATTAAAATCCCATCCTTTTTCTAGCAGCTGCCTTAGAGTAAAAATCTGATCTACCCATCCCGCTCGTAGGCAAACGTCCACTTGGAAATGCACTGTATGCTTATATCTGGATACCATATGGTCAGCAATCATCATCCATCCGACATCCATGATTTCATTGATTATGTTACTATTTCCTGATCTAACCATTACGTTGATCAGGTATGCTCGCCAATCTCCCCTTCTAAGAATGACACAATAACTCAAAATTTCTCCTTCTGTTAAATTTCATGATTTTGGACTTCTCAGGAGTAGGAGACCTTCTTTTGAATATTTTATAACTATAGTCAGATCCTGTTACATTCTTATTACCTGTTCTGACACCGTATCCCCCAGTACCGCTACGTATATCACACGGCTGCTAAGCACACAGTCTATCCATCTAGCGTCTAGTGGTATCAGTTTTATTTTAAACTCAGTAAAATGTACACTCAAAAATTCTTTTAGGGTCTCTTTACCACTCCTAGTGTATTATTTCCCTCATTTATCACGTCCACTGCTGGATATAGGACTCCCTTAAACTCTTCCATTCTTTGCAATTTGTTGCCAATTTTTCGTGATACGCCTGATGTCGTCAGCCCAACGTGCAGGTATTCTTCCTCTACTACGTTTTTCTGCTCTTGGCCTCCAATGTGTATTATTTCCTTCATTTATCACGTCCACTGCTGGACATAGGACTCCCTTAAACTCCTCCATTCTTTGCAATTTGTTGCCAATTTTTCGTGATACGCCTGATGTCGTCAGCCCAACGTGCAGGTGTTCTTCCTCTACTACGTTTGTCTGCTCTTGGCCTCCAATGTGTAATTTTGCTCGTCCATCGTGAGGCATGCATTTTCGATTAAAAGTCCAGGTCTCGGTGCCATGTAAAAACACTGTCCAAATATAGTTTTGATCATTGTTGGGCGTAATTTTAGGTAAAAGCTGTGCTTATAGAAGAATGATTTCATTTTTAGAAACGTTTTGTGAACCTGTGATTATAGTGTAAATAAATACGTAATAAGTAAAAATAAGTAATTCGTCTTTATATTTATATCCTTCGTTGAAACCAGATCCAATCTATACGATGTGGCGATAGGCCCCATCAAGTACAACCAATGTTTTATAACATAAGGGGGTCTAAAACAAGAATTAAAGAATCCCTAGATAGAAAACTTACCTGACACACTAACAGCAACAGTTTCAGATGCATCCTTCTCTGTATCTGGGATACTTGTTGCCTTTTCGATCTGGGATACGTTTTCTATAACCTCTGAAGCTGCACCTGATTGTGTGATTTCTAAATCACCACTTCCACTTACTGAGTCAGTTTTTGTAACTGAATCTGTAGTGTCTGCGGTAGTAGTATCAGCTGATGAGTCTGTAATAGAATATGTAATTGTCAGTTAAAAGCCAAATAAAAAATAAAAAGCATTAAAGACATTAAAAAAAGGGTTAAAATTAATTGCATTTATACTACAAAAAGTAACCTGTGCATAACTTTACATTAAATACATTGTATCATCAAAAATGATCTCCAACTTTTTTGGATAAATTGTTTTTTTTTTAATCAAAAAATCTATGGACTTACAAGTTCAATATGGAGTTGCAAAATATTTCATGACATCATAAGTCACATTTGAAACGTCAAACTGAAATTACGTCGCTAAAATTTTGATGAAATTAATTAGCGATTTTTCCTGATTGAACGAATGTTTGCAACATAGAAATTTTGCTTGCTACAAATATTACTTGTTCATTTTTAGTATAAAGTCGTACTACTGCAGTTTCAGAGATTTTGCGTTTGGTTTATGCTTAAAAAAATCTAAGTAGCTAAATATGATGGATACTATACAATAATGTATGTCTATTATATCTACATAATGTATACAGTCTACAAGTATATAATGCATTTATATAAAACTAGTAACTTTGCCCGTCACATTCGATGGGGGATCCAATAAATTGTCATATACAGTCAGTCATTAAATTGTTAAAATAATAAACTTTTTGCATATATATATATATATATATATATATATATATATATATAAATATATATAATATGTATATAATAGCTATATATCTCACCGTGGGGTTAAACCGCGAATGCTTTCCACATGTTATTTCTTGGGTGTATCAGTCCCTTTTGTTTATGTTATCTTGTTGACGATATCTCTCCATTTTTCCTGTCTCTAGTTTTACCTCTCCATTCTCTGACTCCGGCTCATTGGAGGTCTTCTTTAACTTCTTGCAGCCACTTTGATCTTGGTCTTCCCCTTCTCTTTCTTCCTCCTAGATTCCATTCTATCATTGCGTATGTCACTGCTTCATCTCCTGCTTGCCAAATGTGACCTAACCATCTAACTCTTTGCATTGCTTTATTTTGGTCACGATGCCTTCTTTAAGTTCTTCCTTGATCTCTGTATTTGTTCTGCTTCTATATTCATTTTGCTCTGTTCTGATTGGTCCCAGAATGGTTCTCATAATCTTTGTCTCCGCTATTCTTAACTCTTCTTCATCTTTTTTAACCATCGTCATTGTTTCTCCTGCATATAATAATATTGGCCTAATTATGGTGTTATAAATGTTCATCTTAGTGTTCTTAGTCAGTGTTTTCCTTTTAAGCAATCTTTTGTTTGCAAAATAAGCTGTATTCCCATTTTTTCTTTTATTTCGGACTTCCTTTCTATGGTTTTGTTTATTGTGACTCCTAGGTATTTGAAGTATTCTACTTCTTCAAACTCAGAACTTCCTATTTTGAGTTTTTCTTTCATTGGCTTTTTTCCTACTTAATATTTTTGTCTTTTCTTAATTTAATCTTAGTCCCATTACCTCCCCTTTCTTTTTTTTATTTCTTCTAGCAATTCTTTCATTATTTTCCCGTTCTTTGCAATAATAGCAATATCGTCTGCATATGCGATTATTTGATCAACTCTTGTTCTTAGATTTCCTTTATTATTTATTTTGTAGTACATATTCTAAGGCTAGATTAAATAGCGTTGTTGATAAGGCATCTACTTGTTTCATTCCTTTATTTATACTGAATTCCTCTGTCTCTCCTCTTTGTGTCTTTATGCTAATTTTTGTAATTCTCATTTCTATTAATTTTCTGAGTTTATGTGGAATTTTTAATTTTTTAAGTACTATCATTAATCCTTTCCTTTTAATTGAATAAAATGCCTGTTTGAAGTCTATGAATAACATTTCCAATTCTAATTTATATTCGTTTGGTTTTTCCATTATTTGTTTTATTGTGTGTATTGCATCTATTGTAGATCTTCTTTCTGTGAATCCACATTGGTATGGTCCCCCTGTCTTCTTTGTTATCTTTGACAACCTCCATCTTATTATTAATGTCAAAATTTTATCTTGTATTTAGTAACGTTATTCCTTTATAATTTTCATAAATTTGTTGCTCTCCCTTTTTATATATTGTTATGATCTGCCCTACCTCCCAGTCCCCTGGCATTTTCTCTTTCCATATATTTTTCAATACTGCCAGTATTTTTCCTCTCAGCTCCATTCCTTCGTATTTTATTAGTTCCATATTAATTCCATCTTTATCAGGGGCTTTCTTATTTTTGCCTATTACTTCCTACAAATTTTCTAATGTTGGTTCTTTTGAAATTTCGATGTCTACTTCATCTGCTTCTTATTCGTGCACCGTTTCCTCCTCGTTATTCATTTCTTCTATTGTTTCCTCCGTCAAGAGCTCTCTGTAGTGATCCCTCCATACTTGCTTGTATTCTTGATCCGTTATTATCACTGTTCCCTTTTTATTTTTTTTTTCGTTTGTTTTGCCTTTGTAGTTTTTATTTTGTTTTTCTCTTTTTGTAACAATGTTTCGTATTTCTGTTGGTTCTTTACTGCTCTATTTCCTGCATTTTCCTTTCTTAATTTTTCATATTCTCTCCACCATTTAGCATCAGCCATTTAATTCTGGCTTGAATTTTTTTCCTGTTATTTCTCTACATTCTTGGTTATACCTCCGATTTTTGTTTTATCTAGACTTTTACCTACCTGCATATTTGCACCTTCTTCTATTGATTTTTTATCGTCTCCCATTCTGTGTTTATATCTTCTGCTTTATATTTCTCTTTTATTTGAACTGCTACTACCTCTTCATATTTTTTTCTTACTTCTTTATTACTCATTTTATTGACATTCCACTGTTTGGTTTTTCTGTTTTATAGTGGCTGTGACCATGTAGTGGTCTGAATCTGCACATGCACCTCTAAATGTTCTTACATCTTTTATTGACGATTGTTTCCGATTATTAATCATTATGTGATCAATTTGACTGTATGTTTTCTGATCTGGGTGTTCAAATTCTGTCAAGCTTAACAAATTTGTTCTTGTTGCTAGGTTACATACCCATTGTCATTTGTGTTTTCGTGTATTGTATGCATTCCTGCAATTTGTTGTAAACAGTCCTCTTTTCAAATCTGGGCATTGAGGTCTCCTAGTACAAGTATATCTTCTTGTGATATTTTTTCTATCTCCCCTTCGACCCTATCATAAAAGATTTCTTCGCCTGCATTGCTTGTTTCTGTAGGGGCGTATAAGTTCAACTCTGATATATTAAATGGTTTGTTGTTGACTCTTACATAGGCCATCCTTTCGCATATTGGCTTGAAATTTATAATTTTCTCTCTTAGGTGCCTTAGTATCATGAATGTAACTTTTTGCATATAATCTAAGTAAATATAAAGTATGATCTGGTGCACTTCTGACCTGACATTCTCTCTATTGACAATTTATATTTGTGTGTAACTTGTGAATCATGAGAAAAAAGCTTTTTTCTATTCTATATACATATATTGATGGCACGCTATATACATTATACAAATGTACTATACAATCTTAGGTCATTTGATTTCATGAGTCATATTATGCTAGTATTAGGCTATAGTTAGATTTGGAATACTATATTTAAAAATGGTGGCTTTTGATATCACTAAAATAGTCTATAAAAATATTTTAAATTTGTTTGTTAGAAAAATTATTTCATAAGATCATAGTGTTTTACATGGTCCAAGAGTACTTTACAACAGGCTTCCACAAGCTTCTACTTTAGGCCCTCTTTTGTTTAACACTGTGGACTTACATGATTTGATGGGCAATGGCATAGAAATTATCCAATTCGCGGATGATTTATGCATTTATGTCACCCAGGATACCTATTATCGCTACATGATAGACTTAGATATATGTTTGACAAGTTACAAAACTGGTTAGACAAAATGGATTTTAGAGCTCCACCAGAAAAGACAGCTGTGATGTGCCTCACAAGATACAGATATTAGTTAGTCAATAATTGTTCTTTAGGTAAATGCACTATCTCTATGGCAAATGAATATAAATATTGAGGTATAAATATAGATAAAAAACTTCAATGGACTAGTCACATTACATATATCAAATAAAGATGTGAAACGGAAATTAATGTTCTGCGCTTTTTCTCCCAAAAAGGAGATGGGACACAGATCAACAAATTTCCTTAATGTTTTACAAGTGTTGCTTGATTTAGGATTATGGGTGTACTTTCTATGGTTCTACCTCTAATACTAATCAACTTAATCTTGATCAAATACAGTGTAAAGCTATAAAAATATGTTTGGAAGCCATCATATCTCCAGCAAGTCATGCCTTCCTCTTATCACAGTGTTTTGATCGCAAAAATGTACTTTCTTGTAGTTGAAAACTTGACAAATCATTATTGGAAAACGAAAAATTGTCCTCCTTTGGCAGTTGTTTTTATTGGTATTTCAAACTTATATTGTTTAACTTAATAAAATGTCATTGTATTCACAAAATTTCTATTCTATAATTGATAAACCTACTACCATATTTCCTCAGTATTCAGATTGCAATATCTTAAACAAAGCCATTAAAATCCATTCTTAATAGCCTCGGGTTGAACTTAACAAAAATATATACAGATGGGTCAAAAACAGATCTAAGTATAGGTTCAAAATTTTTTGTTTCAAGCATAAATCATAATGAAAAGTATCTCAAATTATTGTTCCATTTTGTACGGCTAAGTCCTTTGCCATGGCATTAAAATGGTGTGCAACTCAAACATGCATGAATGTTGCAATAATTTCAGACTCAAAGTCAACATTACAAGTTATTAGCAGGCATCCACTAAATCAATTCCGAAATCCTTAATTGTGAACATAATATTAGTTATTTATGTAACAAGGGTATTAAATAGATGTTTATGCCCAGAGAGCTACAATTTACATTGTAAATCGCCTGAAGGCATATACATCTATTAATACCTGCGGTGCATACAAACTTTTATGTCATACTAGCTCGTTATTGCTTCTACAAATAAATATATTCTAAAAAATTCGAAAATTTGATTTCATTTTGACAATATATTTTGTTTGTTGTTTGTTTGTGTTTAAATGACTGCGTATACTAAATCCATTCGCCAATGACAATATATTTACTAGTAGACATTTACAGCTATGAAAAGCTATGAAAATGCTATGAAACATGAGTCAACATTTGCTGCGGGTAAATAAATATCACTGGATTCTTTCAGAATTGTCAGTTTTATGTGAATTCTAAATAATGTTTTGAAACATTGTTAAATAAAGATGTTTCTAAGAAGTTATCTTTTTGTTTGTATATTTATGCCCATGCGGGCACAAAGGACACTATTAGATAATTGGTAACTAAGCAATAAAACCACAATAATAAACTAGTATAACATAAAAAATTAATTATGGATTTTAAACAAAATAATGTAACTGTTTCATTTATTTTGCTGAAAAGACATTATGGAGTTGAAGATAATGAAATTGAGGATATGGCCTAAAAAGTACTGGCAGTTGCCACCATGATGACAAAGTATTTGATAAAAGATTTAAATAATGCTCTCAAACCTAATATCAGTTGTAAATGGAAAGCTAATTACAAGAGAATTGCAATTAAATCTACAAATCATTATTTTAGCTTTTCACACTATACTTCTAAAAAATATTGCATAGAGATCATAATGGCTCCCCATTTCACTTATATAAAATACCACTTCTATCTAACTCTCCTGTCTGTATTTGTAACAACATATCTATTGGTGATCTAAATCATATAGTCCTCTGTTCTCTCGGTTCTCTTCACTTCTATATCAAGAACTAATTCACAATGAGTTTACATTGCTGCTAAATATTACAGCTCTCCTGTCTTCGTCAGATAAATCTGTACTTGAGTACATCATAAAATGTATCATTATTGCAAAAATAGTGGTATAGTTTAAAGAAATAGGTAACATCAGACATTTCAAATAATAAATAATTTTCATGTTTTGTTGCAAACAGATTTTGTATTTCACTTTTATAAAAATAACAGTATTTTTCTGATATTGTGAAAAAAAATTTAGTGATTACAAGATATTAGAAATAAACCAACATTTGACATAGCAACAACATTAGCTAGTAAAGTAACAAAGTTATTTGTAAGGTACTAACTAAATTATATTGACCTAGACCATGCCATACTGCTTGTTTTGGGAAGCTATTTTTTATACTAAATACTAGAAAATACCATTTGTTTCTAATGGCAAAATACTTTTTAGTTAATTGTATATTAAAATAACTTACGTGGCTCTGGTAGACTACCTTCTTTACTAAGAACAGTGTTAGATGTAGTATCCTCAAAATCATCACTGATTTGTCTATTTAAAATAAAATTAGAAAGCCCTGGATAGTCTAAATCATCTTCTGGGTTGTAATCCCTGTCATTTGTATCTTCCAAGTCATCATCATTATCAAAATCTTCTAAAAGACTACTATCAATTTCTCCAGCTGGTCTCTTTTTGGGTTTTCTAGTTCTCCTTGGCTTATATGGGTGATAATCTTCATCATTTTCATCCTCTTGTATCTGGGGAGCAAAATATTGGGGTTCTTCTTCACTCTTTCTTCTCTTAGGTTTCCTTCCTCTTTTAAGTTTCGGTTTGGATGGTTGAGATTTCGACTTCTTTAGTACTTGTTCTTTTTCACTTAAAGGTTGTACTTTAATCTCTGTTTTTTGGATAACATTATCATAATCTATTCTGTTTTTGTTAACTACTACGTCTGCTCTAATCATGTCCTCAAAGTCCACCAATTCATCACAATTTCCTACAGTTTCTTCAACTGCAGATTCAGTAGGTTTATCAGTAGAGTCACTTACATTTTCACTGTTGGCTGCTTCATCTAACTTGGGATTATTATTGGTAACGTTAAATTCTTCATCATCTGAAGCAACTTTAGGAGTCTCCACAGGTACATCCTCTTCATAATCCCAATCATCAGCATTAAATGTTTGTCTTTTTCTTTGTCTCAGACTATATTTTTTAGGAGCCGGTTCGTAAGCTGGATCATCTTCGAAATCGGACTCTGTTTCAGGTTCCTCTTCACTATAATAATGCCTTTTTGCTACTTTTGAGCGTTTTCTTACCATTTTGTTTATTTTTAGTGTTTTTTGTCAGTGATGGTTTGAGGTTATATTTTCTTTACAATTTGCCAGTGTTGAAACAACATACAGTTGATAAATGGCATACTGATATTGTATTAATGTATAATAGGTATGAAAATCAAATTTTTACTGATTAACACTTTTTGAATTATAATAATATTGTAATGCATATCCAGCTCTTTTAAAATATTTATTAATGTAATATTTAATTAAAAATATATATTTTATTTTAAAATCTTCATATATCAAGTGTAGCGGTCATTTTAAGGTATTTGGATTATTAAAAGATTAACAAAAAATTTAGAATTTTGTAATACAATTGTTGCAGTCAATAAAATGTGTAAGTTACTTAAATTTACTTTATGCCTTTTTTCTGCCTTAATCACACAAACGTAGTTGGTAGTGTTATGCACTCTCGTAATCATTGATTGATTGGCTTTGGCAACTCTGTACTTGTAGTTGAACAACAATGGCTACCTTTTTAACAGTGTAGTAGTGTCAAATATAAAAAGTTTTGTAAAAACAGTGTCTTTTAAACAGTGAATTTAAAATTTAAACTTATCTTTTTTACTCAAAACTTTAGTAAGTTAGTAATGGATTCAGAAGAGAGCTCTGAAGTGAGTTGATTATAATTTTTTTGTTCATGCTATACACTTAACCAGCTACCCTTTTTTAAATAAAAAAATAAAGTATTTTATTTGTAGTGATTGAATAAATTTGTGAAATAAAAATGTCAGTTTAAAGATCACTAGGAACGTATGTTAAATGTTTCCTTTTTTAGTTATTTTATGACATAGGCGCCACTGTAAAGGGTTTTATGTACTTAAAGGGGTAAAATTATAAAATACGGCTGAATTCATTTTCTGATATTTTATTTGGAACAGACATAAATGTATTGAATCCTTATATTATTATTTCTACTTCAGTTAAACAAAAAACATTTTAATTCAGTATTTGTGTTCTGGTTAGTAAGGGAAGTTCGGAGCTGATTCTCATTATTGATTTTATTGTTTTGGTTTCTTTTTAAATAAATAATATGTAAAAATAATCCGACTATCCTCACTAATGTAAGTGATTACCAAAATGTTTAATACAGAGATGTGGGGAGATTTTTTTTTTTTTCGTTAGTTAGGCACGATCCCGGTACAGAAATCAGCAAATTTCTGATTTAACTGAGCCACCACCGTGCTTCGGAGGGCAAGTAAAGACGTCGCTTCCGGCTACGTAAGTAGTCGTTAACACTAAAAGCTGAACCAAAAGGCTACAGAAATGGAAGATGTACAATAAGCCGAAAAAAAGGGCAAAGAGGCAAATAAAAAATTATAATATTTTTTAAGAAAACTGTTGATAAGAAAAAAGAGAAACCATTATGAAAAAAAAGGTAAAAAATGAAATGGGAAAGGGATAAAAATTAAAAGGGAATGTAAATTAAAGAATATATTGAAGACTGTTGAAAGAAAACTGTATTTACACATTCTAAACAGCTAGAATAGAAGACGCAAGGGGCTCTAAGATTAAATGAATTAAGAGTATATGCTCTTCATATCTCCCTGTTGCATTTAAAAGCATAACGTACCATTTAATGTTAAACAATATGTTTCTAATTTGGACACATATAAAAACGCCTTTTAAACATTGTGTTAAAAAAAATTCAAATTTTTTAGAAATGTTTGTATACAAAACAATAAATGTTATTTTTCATTCTTTATACATCGTTTAAATATTATCTTGATTTTCTTTTTCAGCTGGTTTTAACAGTAAGGACTTCAGTTTTCTTAAAATTCAACCCAAAATAATTTCTCAGGCATTCTTGTGTTCATTTTCAATTAATATTAAGGGGCTTTTACCGAGTTCCAACGAATTTTATGCAACTCGCATCTCATCTATCTTTTCTTGTTCTTCAAATAAATGTCATATACTATATATATATATATATATATATATATATATATATATATATATATATATATATATTAAACCTAGAGCTAAGATTAATACTATTACAAGAATTAATATCAAACTTAACATTATTCCGGGTTGAACCGCGTCTATTATCATTGCGCCGAGCTTTCGACATCCTCTTTGATGTCTTATTTAGGGCTTCCGAGGTCTTAGTCTCCCGAGACTCCATACACTACTACGCTGATCACTAACTAAATGCATTACTGTTACTGGGAACAGAAGACGGTTCATTTATACTGTCGATGGTGACGTGGTTTGACGTAAAGGACTGAACAAGCAGAAATAACACTGGCGATCTTTTGCATGCCGCAAAAGACAGACGTCTGGCCTTAAGATAATTCGCCAACGCACTATAGGTTTACGGCACTATAAGAAGAAGAGAAGAAGCGGATGGGGTGTATTATACAAAATTGACAAAATTCTTAAATCAAGAGGAATAAAGACAATTTTTACCCCCAACAAGAACTTTTATCTCTTGTCCGATTAAACAAAGACAACATTCCAAATGAACAACACGGAGTTTATGAAGTTCCTTGTGTAGACTGCCCCCGATCTTATATAGGCTAAACAAATCGTTGAATCCAAAATAAGATTTATCAACATTCTATTTATGTTCGCAATTCCGATTTAACTTCAGGTCTTGGTCAACACCATCATCATACAGGTCACAAAATTTATTTTGAAAACTCGAGAACCATAGCTCTCTTTCGCTTCTATAAACCAAGAATGATCCGAGAAGCCATAGAAATTTAAAAAATGACAAATCGTCCCAATAAAAGAGATGACGGCATACGGTTACGTTCGAAATGGAGACCTCTCATAAAGAAAATATTTTCCGCCCCACCCGACAATCGAAATCACTACTGCCAGAAATGTTCGCACCAATCCCCATGCCAACCTCCACCAAACCACGTTCCCATCGACGGTATAAATAAACCGTTCTCTGTTTATACGCCAAAAAAATTTTACTAGAAGCAATTCAGGAAATTGTTTTTTGTTAGAGATATTACCGTATACCGGCAACTAACGGTAGGCGGCCAGCAGATTGAGAGAATAAAAAGATATACTTACTTGGGAACGATAATTACAGAGAATAACGATTATACTGCAGAAATAAGAGTCAGAATTGAAAAAGCACGTGCCAACTTCGTGAAAATGAAAAAGATTTTATGCAGCAAAGATCTGACATTGGCCCTCAGAATAAGGCTAATTAAATGCTATGTACACAGTGTACTCTACTATGGAGCTGAATCATAGACATTAAACTGGAATACCTACAATAAATCGACTTAACGCGTTTGATATGTGGACATTTAGAAGATTGTTAAGAATTTCATGGGTAGATAGAGTCACGAATGCAGAAATGTTAAGGAGAATAGGCAGAGAGAGGGAAATGGAAAACTATACTGGTGATCTATAAAATGTGTGCTGGTGTTATGAGAGGAAATAGTGCCTAAGCAATCACACTTTTTTTCTAGTTAAAATTAAAATATCCCCAACTCAACTGTATGACTGTTTAAAATCAAAATTGATAATGAAACTAATTGGACGAGGAATTTGAAATTATTAAACCCTGCTGTTCCAGCAACCGTGATTTTAAACAGTATATGCAATAATTCGTATCATTGATTTATGTCTCTCTGCATCTATTGAATAACAGACAATGTCAGAGATAGATCTACGACTAGGAGACTGGGTCGACAGACGCGAATAAGGATTTGAACCGGAAGATGCAGGACGTTATACACCGGACATTATATATGATTATGCCTTACTTATATTATGAAATGTCCAGATTAAGTTGTTAAATACTACACTTTTCATTTATAAGAATTATTTTAAACACTGTAAAATAATATATTTTTGATATATTGCTCATAATTAATAATTCTTCAATTTTCAGGATAAAACATTTGTATGTTCTTCATGTAACAAAGAATTTAAAACTTTAGTTCTTTTTAATAGACACAAGAAAACCCATAACTCAACATGTGAAAAGTGCAACAAAACCTTTAAAACCTTCAGTCAGCTAAGGCAACACAATAAAGAAAAACATCCTAAGGTAAGTTATGTAAGAGAAAACATACATTCTTTAGTTTATGGCAGTATTCTACAAAATATTTTCTTGCTGTCCAATTAATTATGTATCTTTTTCATGAAATAAAATTAATATATTAGTAACGTCGTATGGTTTGGCTGATATCTTTTAGGGTACTTCTAAATCATCCTACACATCCACTCACAACTAACTCTCATTCCACTCCGCCTACATATTTCGACTTTCTTCAATACATAAGATCACTTTCCAATTAACCAAGAAAATTTCCTGTCTCCTCTCAAAGGTTTATTTTTGTACTGTATATTCCATAATGTCGACAAAACTAGTCGGTCCGTCCAAATTCGAATTCAAGAGCATCGAAGATGCATTAAACTGTGTCTTGTTCCATAATATTTGCAAAAATTCCTACTTCAATCGAAAAAAATTCACCTAGTTTAATAAACGCGACGTTCTGTGTCAGCTACTTGGATGAATACAACACTGGTCCGTACACAACACCCGATATAAGTGCTGGTGCACAGTTATTTCAACGGATTCACGTTTCACCTTTGGGTATTGAGTACTTTAGTTATCATAGCCAAATCCTACCCCTAAATAGGCTATCAACAAGTGTAGCGAAACGTTGTGATGGACCCCCATACTCGAGTCGAGATGTCTATATAAAAAATTCACATAACATTATTATTGCATCATCCATACGATCGGCTATAAGGATGATGTCATCTGCAAATCTTAAATGACTGAGCTTTTCTCCATTTATGTTGATACCATGCTCGTTCAGATGTTGAGACCATGCCTTTTTACGAGTCTTTTCTAAAAGCGTAGTGAATGGCTTTGAAGATACTGTTTTTCCTTGCCGTACTTCTCGCTGTATACAGAATTTATTTGTTTCTTGTTCAGACAGTCGTACGTTAGCTGTGGCATTTTGGTAGATATATTTGATTACGTTAATATAGCGATGGTC